TTTTTAATCTTTTTTTTGTAGTTGTAAACAGACAAAATATATATATATATATATATATATATATATATATATATATATATATAAAAGTTGTAGATGGACATAATACTTTTATTTCATTTATTTATTTTTATATGATGCTGAGGACTGAACCCAGCGCTTTACATGTGTTAGGCAAAAGCTTTACCACTAAGCCACAACCGCAGCCCCTCAATTTTTAATCTTTTTTTTGTAGTTGTAAACAGACAGAATACCTTTGTTTATTTTTATGTGGTGCTGAGGATCAAACCCAGTGTCTCACACATGCTAGGCAAGCGCTCTGCCACTGAGCTACAGCCCCAACCCTCAAATGTGTTTTAAAAGGATACTTTGGCAGTAATGTGGAAATGAGATATAATGAAGCGTGCAGTGGAACTGGTCGTAAGTAGATGGATTTGAGTGATTTTAGGAGATCAACTTAGCAAAAATTGGTATTATTAGATGTACAGGAAATGAGGGATGAGAGAAGATGGAGCTGGGTGGCTAGGGTCTTTCACTGAATCCAAACCAAAGGGTCTGTGTGTCCCTAAAATGTTGTCTGCTTCCCTATCCACCAAAGAGAACCCAATTTCTGCTTCTTGGTCTTTCCTTGCTTTGAGGCAGATCTCTGAGGGTTATCCCGGCTGGAAAACGATTTACCTACATAAAAAAATTGGGAGAGGTTTGGGATTGTCAAGGAAGATCAGCATTCCCAAAGCTGAGTTTGAGATCAGACAAGTGAAAAGGTTTGGGACAAAATCAGTCATTCCCAGATCCTTCTCTCCTTTCCTAGTTTCATGGCCCAATTAAAAACATGTAATCAAAGGGTCTGTGACTCAGTGATTTCAAACAAGTAATTTTATTTACCTTTTCAGGTTCGGCCAACCAATCCTCCCCTTTGTATTTTTGTTTTCTTCTAGGATGTGTGTTTGGGAAGGGGGGGGGGGGGAGTTGACTGCTACCATCTTTGCACTCATCTCCGCCGGCGGACTCCGCGTCCAGCCTTCTTTTCTCCTCGACGCCTACGGGCGGGGGCTGGAGGAGCTACGGGAGTTGGGGCTGGGGGCGCGGGGCCGGGCGCCGAGCGGGCCCCGCCGCCTTGGGGTGGCTTGTAGATCAGGTGGAAGATGAAGGCGTTGCAGTACCTGCGGGAGGCGCGTGGGCGCTGTCAGGGGCGGGGCCTGGGCTCTTAGGGGCGGGACTTGTGGGCCCCGCGTTCGGGGAGCGGGGCTAAATAGGGCTCAGCTCGCTAAAGGGTGAGCAGGGCCTTTTGCATCGTAGGAAAAGGAGTTGGGGAGTCGGTGAACTGGATCCAAAGGGGTGTATTGGAGATTATCTGGAACAGCGGGGATGGGGTGGTGGTGACTAATGGGGACAAAAAAAGGAGGGCTATAGGGCTGAGGCGAGTAAGGTCCCAGGAGAACGGAGACCTTTTAGGTGCAGAGAGTAAGAGAGGTTATGGGACCAGAGGGAAAGTGGGCCCTTACCAAGGCATGCAGTTGTCGGCTGCTCTGAGGCGAAAGGGGGAGCGGAAGGGGTTGGGCTGTGGAGGACTGGTGCCCCCTCCCGTGGCCACTGCCATGGTCTGGTCGTCCATCACACAGCCATACTCGCTGCTCTCAGTGAAGAAAGCAGGCACTCGGAGAGACTGAGGTGGGGGCAGAGCCTTAGAGACTCCCTGAGAGACTCCTCCCTCCAGATACATCCCAAGCCCCCAGGATGACAGTTGAAAACTGAGACCCTATGACACACCAGGATGCTACAGAGGCAGAAGGCAGTCACAGAGCTCAGAGGGTCCAGGACCCCGTCGGTACTCTCCACGTTTGGGGAGCAGTTGATGTGAGTACACAGAGGAGAGTACACAGGCTTTCAGAAAAGAAAGGAGGGGTTTGGGAAGAAAGTGAGATACCCCACCTGTAATCTGGGCAGAGAGCTCAGCCACGTGTCCTTGAGACCAAAGCCGGAATTAAATCCTGCCCAGGGAGAGCAGAGAGATGCTGGCTTCCGTGGTCTCCTTCTCTCCTCCCTTCCCCATACTTCTCTCCCTTAGTCCCAGGCTCTTACCAATAACAAGGTCAGGCTTGGGCCCCTGGAGCAGATGATAGGGTCTGGCTGACACCTTGATCTGCAGGTCCCTGCGACCCCCTTTCTCTTTAGTCCCAGAGTTGAGCCGTGCTGATACTCCAGAATTAGGACGGACAGACACCTCAGGGCCATCCTGTGGAGCCAAGGGTCGGGCGGAGAAGCCACCAGAATTCAGGTGGATGCACCAGTTAAGACAGAAGAATGGGGAGAGGAAGACAAACATTGGGAGGCCAATAGAAGGATCAGGGCCTCCTTCAAGCCCTCACCCYTTGCAGGGTAAAATGTTGCTGGTCATTCTCGGGTGGCAAGGCATCACCCACAAACTGCAGCTCCAGGGCCACATGGGGAAGTAAGACCAAAAGCTCCTGAAGAACAAAGATAAGACAGGTCTAGCTCCCATCCTGTGTCCACCCCACAGCCAATGCCAGTCTCCAGGCCAGGAAAGACTTACCCAAAACACCATTACAAGGTCAAACTCTTTCCCTGCCTCTACCACGTGGATCTTCAGTGACTGCTTGTTCTGTATATTGAGCTCAGGGACTAAGGAGAGGCCAGTTCTTAAGGATATGGTCTTTCTCACTGACCCCTCTTACCCCTACATCCCCCCATCCTACCCTGTACTCCTTACAGGACTGGGGCACTAGGTGGGTGATGACGTAGTACACGGTCAGCGGGTAGGTGAGAAGCACAGCCATGGGGGAGTCGAGGCTGAGGCCCCGCCATGTGTAGTAATCCTGCCACGAGCCTGGGGGAGAGTGGATTACTGGAGGACCCAGCTCCAAGCCTGAACCCCAACCTTTCTGGTCTAATAGTTCCCTTTTTCTCAGACACCCAGGCCTTTAGCCTTCCCTGTCCCCACCTCTGGTTCCTTCAGGGCCCTTCCTGCTCACCAAAGAGGGCCTTGGGTGGATCTGAGGGCACTGGAGGCATCAGGGCAGGACCATCCCCCTGGAGAAGCTGGTAGGGATCTCCTGAGAGGATGAAAAGAAGAGGGACCTTCACCTGACCCAACTTCTATTGCTTCCAGAAGAGCTGCGTCCTCTGAGAGAGGGCCTAGAACTGTACTAGGAGGGATGAGAGCCTTTTAAAGGTCAGGGCTACTGGATGGGATAGGCAGGGTGACCCCTTTGAAGGCTTCAGAGAGGGTTGAAATGGCACTGATGGTGTTGGTAGGGGTTTGGTGTGTATATGAAGGAATTATCTGGGACCTGGTCAACTTTTTCTTCCCAATCCTTCCCTCTAGGCTGAGGACAGTCCCCACGCACCACTGAGAAGAAGGCCAAGGGATGGTGTGCTGCCCCGGGGGTGCCTGGGGGTGCCAGGTCCTGGAATCAGCATGCTGAGGTGAGTCCAGTAGCCGCGAGTGAGTCCCCGGGAGGCCAGGAAGGCTTCCTTGTTAAAGGTTTCGCTGGTCACCTCTGGAGAAGGAGAGGAAGTATTGAGGGCCTAGTGTTGAGGCCCCAAGACTTGAGCTCTGCTCAACTTTCCCCAAGGAATCTGGGTCTGAGTCTGTTTCTAGTCAGAAGGGAACTATCATTTCTGAAAGTCTACAGTATACCAGGCACAGAGCCTACACCATCCTTGTAACAATTCTGTGGGATTTTACATTTGTTAGTATTCCTCTTTTACAGATAAGGAAACTAAGCTTCCAAGAAGTAACATGATATGTTTAAGGTTGCACTGACAGTTGGTGATGGAGCTGAGAAGCAAGCATTTGAAACCTACCCGAAAGTCCCCTGAGCTCTCACTGGGACCCAGGCACCTGGTTTTCCATTTCAGAGATCCTTTCTCTAGCCCCAAATACCCAGTACCCAAACTTTATTCCAGGGATCTAGATTTCATCCAAAGGTACTTAGTTTTCTGTTCCAGAACCTTGTTTCCAGGTACCCAGGCCCTATCTCAAAGACCTGGTCCTAGTGTTCACCCAGCCCACTCTGAACTCCTTATGGTACCTGCAGTGTAGGTGAAAGGCAGAGTTGCCAGTTCCCCTGCCCGCTCCATGAAAGCTGCAAGCCTTGGGCACCAAAATCGGTGGCTCACATCATCTGGACATCGCCGCCAATCAGCCCGGAGACAAGTCTCTCCACAGTACAATACGGCACTGCACTGGGGACTGGGGGACATGGGGTGGTAGGCACCTAGTATTAATCTTTGTAAGTCCTGTCTGCTGGCCGTCTGCCCCGCAGCTGCCCATATGTCATTTGGCCTTTTTGTCTTATACCCTCTAACTTACCTGTAATTCCTGTTTGGTTTTTTTCCATCTCTGTCTTTGTATTTCCCTGACCCTCCCCGTCTGTCGGCTGTCTCCAACTGATCTGGCTTGCTTTTTTTTTTTTCTTCCTGTTAAGAGTCTTTTTTTCAGACTCCATCTTTGTGGGCTACTCACCAGGGTGACAGCTTCACTTCAAAGCTATGCCTGTGACAAACATGGCAGGTTCGAGCCCGAAGGGAGGCAAAGGTGAAGCCTGGCCGAGGACCCCATGTCCGCATTGGAGTCTTTGCTAACTTCACACCCAGCCTTGGGACCAGGTTCTCCAGTTCTCTGAAGTGGAGATGGCATCAGGATGGGGTAAGGGGCCTCCAGTGTCCAGGCCCTAGACCTCCCCATCCTCTAATACCAGATTTCTGTACCTATGCAGCTGAGCATCTCCCACTGTAAGCTGTCGCGGCTTTCGGGGGTCCCCAGAGCCCATGGGGCAGGCCATGCTGTGGCAGAGAAGAGCATAGGCCCGAGGAGCTAGGTTCTCAGTTCCTGAACCCCGGCCTGCATTCCCTTGGACTCCATCCACTAGCAGATCAATGCCCAAGATGGTGCCATGCTCATCCGTCACCAGTAAGAGGCAGGAAAGGTGCAGGGGGCCAGTCTCTGGGGAAAGAGAGAAAATTTGGGAGAGACAATAGGGAACAAAGATGTACAGGGACAGGAGTATCAAACTCAAATGCTGTGGGGGTTAGGCAAGTAAGTTCAGTGAGTAAAGGAGCCTAGGTAGAGAGGCCCTGCCTCATTTAAGGCAACTGTTACTACACAGTACCAGAATTTGCCACGTGCAGAAATGTAGGCACACTGTCAGAATTTTAGATTTTTCTTAAGGAAGTATAAATCTAGACTTCTGGGGATTTGGGGTTTTCTTCTTTTTTGGTACTGGGGACCAAACATAGGGTGCTTTACTACTGAGATACATATTCAGCCCTTTTTATTTTTTATTTTGAGTCAGGACCTCATTAAGATGCTGACACCCTCAAACTTGCAGTCTTCCTGCCTCAGCCTCCCGAGTTGCTGGAATTATAGGCATGCACCCTGATGCCCAGATCATACTTTGGGATTTTCATCACTTTCAATGTTTAAATGTTGATTTGAAAAATAAAAAAAAAAAAAACTCTGTGGTTGATGAAAACACTTTTTTGGGCCAGATGATCCAAAGGCCACCAGTTTGTGACCCCTAGCCGAGTCTGAGTGAGAGGGGATGGCCTCATAAGGGGAGGATGGCTGGGCAGGACATAGGGCAGGCTGGCCCTGGGTTCTTACCACTCCTGCGTTCCTTTCTCTTCTCAGGTCCCATTTCATCCTCCACTTTGTAATCTCGGCAGCCATCCTCACCACATGCCTCCTGTTCAGCCTCCTCTGGCTCCCCTGGAGGCTTGGCTTCCTGAGGGGATTCCCTACTGGTAGTGGCCGGTTCCCCATCCTCCTGTGGTTCCACCTTCTCTGTGCCTGCACCCTCCTCCTCTCCATTCTCTCGTTCTTCATCTTCTTCCCCCTCCTCTTCCCCTTCCTCCCCATCCTCTAGGCTGACAAAGCTGACATAGGGGCTCAGGTCTTGAAGGTGGAGTGGAGGCTCATCTCCCAGGAGCCGGGCAGCCCCCAGGCCTGGTCCAGGGCCTGGCTCTGCCCCTTGCCCCAGGCTGATGCCCACACTACGGTTGGGCAAGACATGGAGCACCCAAAGGGCGGGGTCCTGGGGCAGCCTTCTGATTTGAGCCTCCAGCTGTCGCCAGCGGCCCTCAAGGCTGGCCCCTACAGCCCCCCGTTCTGCCACAAACTTGCGGAACCAGCCAAAGAGGAGAGCAGCGAAATCAAGGAACTCATCGCGGTATCCAGACACAAACTCCATGTCTTCAGGGGCACAGGGCCTGGGCCCAGACTGAACATAGGAAGTAATAGGGTAGTGTTGAGAAAGTTTGGGGCAGGGTCACTAAATGGGCGAGAATGGGGTTTTGAAGGTCACTTAGGGTGGATCTATGGATGAATATTAGGAGCTGAGAGTAGAGTTTTTGGGAATGAGGATGGGAGATTGGGGTGAGAATGGTGGAGGAGGACCTGGATTGGAAAGTGAGCTATTAGCGTTGAAGATGTACTCAGGGATGAGATGGTATTCTGAGCTCAAAATTTGAGTACTCAAATTCTCTAAAGTAAGGTTTTAATTAGAGGTAGAGATGAGGTAGGGTTAATCCTATAGGGAAGGGCTTGTGAGGAAGGAAGACCCACTGATCTATGGGGTATGGGAAGAGGGAATAGGAGCTGAGGCATCCCTTGGACTTTGGCGTGAGCCCCAGTAGACCTAGCCCTACCCAGTCGCCCTACTCCTCCGGTACCTGCAGCCGCCACTACTTTTCGAAGGTAAATACCTCGGGTGGGGGGCGGTCGTGACGTCAGGGCTGCCCGAGCCCACGGCCAGTCCCTCGGGTGGCCACGCCCCCCCGAACTGGGTGTCTTGGCGGGTGGCTGCCCTAGCCAGTGCGTGCGCTGCCGAGCCGGGTCCTATGACCGCTTCACCTCTGCGCACCGCAGAGTGGATCCCGCCGCGACGGAGCGGAGGAGCCGGGGAAGTGAAAGCATGCTGGAGCAGGTGGGAGTCTAGCCATTCATCCATTTCACAGGTCTGCGGACTGGCCAGTGGCGGCCAGAGGGGCTGGCATCCCTGAACCGAACTCGATCATCCCGTATAGTAACTGCCCGCCTACCCAGACTCGTCTCACCCCGAAGTCTGAGTTTTCTTTCGGTTTCGTCGGACATTCCTGACCGCCCCCTCAGTCCACTCTGGGTTAGGCACGGGGCTAAGGAGCTCCGCTTTGGGGATTTCCCTGTCGCGGGTGGCAGACGCGGCACGGGCTCAGAAATACTGACCAAAGGTCGGTTCGGGACGGCGCGAGCGCTGGGCGGAAGGCCGCCTCCGCCTCGCGCCCTCTCCTCAGCGGAGACTTGGCACCTACGGCCCCCGCAGTCTTCTCCAGAACCTGAGGCGGGCGGGGGAAGGAAGCGAAAGCCATCGAGAAATTAGCTGGACGTCACACTCTCCGATCCAGAGTCAGGGAGAGGCGGCCCTATGAGCTAAACTCCCCTCAATCCCGGAGATGAGACCGAGCTCGGGACCCCTCTTCCCCGAGCTCCTATTTCTGCTAGTGCTGCTGATTCTGCCAGGTTAGTCTGGAGCGGGTTGGTAGTCCGGAGCCTAGAGTCCCGGGAAGAGAATGCGCTAGGGAAGGGGACACTAGGGCCGCGGTGTTGAGTGCAGAACTGGGGCGCTGCAGGGCTCCCAAGGCAATTGGGACAAGGGGAAGTTGCTTGGGATTGGGAACGGAGGCTGGAGACAACGGGGTCCTGGTGGGATTATGGACGTTTTGGAGGGGTGCGGTGTGTGATGTGTGAGTTGAGGATGCGGGTCAGACCCCCGAGGCCTAGGGGGAGAGGCTGCATGGGACAATGAGTTGGAGACTAAGTAGATTAAGTACCAGCGGTGGGAGATTCTTGGCCTGAGAACAGGTACGATCGCCTCTATCCCATTCAGGAGATGGCAACGAAGGCAGCGTCGCTGGAAGCTGTCCCTGTGATGAAAGAATTTCTTTGGATAACCCAGTACCCTTGCAAATCATGAATCGTTACCGAAAAAACCTGAGAGCCTACCGTGACTGTCGAACCCACATCTGGTAATCTCCCTCACCCAGCTGGCAGCGCCTAACTGTCCGTCCCTGCCAGTTGTCTCCAGGAATCCTCTCTGTTCAAACGCGAATCCCCTTGGGGTGAATCCTGCCCCATCTCCGAGTTCTGTTCCTTCTAACTCTCTGCACCATCTTTTTTCTGTTTCACTTCACTGGGGATTTCCAGTCTCCGCAGAAACAACTTTCTTTGGGTGACGTTATGTCTCTGGAATGAGGGAAGGTGGGGAAGGTGGTGCTGCTGAGACCAGGTTCTGTTTCTTGCAGGTTTCAGCTAATTAGAAAGAGCGTATGTGGGAACATCAAACACCCAAGGGTTCGTGAATTAATGAGCTGCTTTGATCACGGAGGTGAGAACTTTGCCTTTCCTCCTCAACTTTGGGCATGGCAGCTTTCCACCTTATAAATTCCTTCGCCTCCGCCCTTAAGCAGAGACACTAACTACATCCTTGAAGCTTCTGATTCTGGCCAAAGTACTTTCGCTTAAGTCCATATCTACCAAACATCATTTATCAGCTCCTTCACGATTTTTTTTTTGCCAGTTCTACCTCATGTGATATTTTGTACTTAATATTTTTCTTGAAATCACTATCATATAAAACGTTTTCATATATAAAATAATCACTGTTGTATTTTCCTTGAAATCACTTGAAGGTATTATTTTCATTTTCCAATATTTAATTATGAAAATTTAGACATATATAAAAGTTTAAAGAATTGTACAATGAACAATGATATGTCCATCACCTAGACTGCAATATTTGATTTATATATACCTATATCTCACATATAAAGCAAATATTTACAATATATGATATTCACAATATTGAGATTACATCATTTACTGTATTTGCTTATTGCATATCCTTCTCTATCATTAATCCATCTTATTTTTTAAAAAAAAATTGTTCTACATTTTTATTGGTGCGTTATAGTTGTACATAATGGTGGGGGATTTGTTGTTACATATTCATACATGTACACAATATAACAATATAATTTGGCCAGTTTCACTGCCCAGTATCTCCCCTTGCCCTTCCCTTCTCCATCCCCCTGGTCCCTCTCTTCTGTTGTACTGATCTTCCTTTGATTTTCATGAGACACGCCCCCTTTCATTCCCTTTTTCCTCTTCCACAGATGACAGAAAACATGGCCCTTGACCTTTTTAGTTTAGTTTGTTTTGCTTAACATAATGTTCTCAAGTCTTCCATCCATTTTCTGCAATTTCATTTTGTTTTAGATCCATCTTATTTTTTGATGCCTGCCTGCCTTTCTCTCTCTATTTCTTTCTTGAACCCAGGGGCACTTCCTCATTTTTCTTTAGATCCATCTTAATTTTTGATGGATTTCTTCTCCCTCCCCCCCCCCTCTCTCTTTTTCTGGTACTGGAGAGTGAACCCAGGGCACTACCACTGAGCTACATCCCCAGTCCTTTTTATTTTTTATTTTGGGACAGGGCTCCCTAAGTTGCTGAGGGTCTGGCTAAATTGCTGAGTTTGACCTTGAACTTGTGATTCTGCCTCAATTTGTGTCTCACAGTGGCTGACTTTGTGATGCATTTCAACCTAAGTTGTAGGCATGGTTATATTTCATCCCAAAATGTTTAAGCATGTATATTATTAAGTAGCATTCACAATTTCACTGCTCTTTTTGGGGGGTATATTTTGCATATAGTGAAGTGAATAAATCATAAGTGTACACAAGTTGGTTTTGCAAAAAAATTTGTTTAACAATTTGTCCTAAAAAATGTCATCTGTGAAGTCACTATATATTTTTATTTCACATATATATATATATTTATTTATTTATTTTGGTACCACAGATTGAACCTAGGGGTGCTTAACCACTGAGCCACATCCCCAGCCCTTTTTAAAATATTTTATTTAGAGACAGGGTCTCAATGAGTTGCTAAATGCCTCCTAAATTGCTGATGCTGGCTTTGAAATCATGATCCTCCTGCCTAAGCCTCCTGAATTGCTGGGATTATAGGTGTACACCACTGCACTGAAGTCACATATTTGATGTGCTGATTGTATTTTGCTCTTGAAATAAATACACAGCTATTAAAATACAAACTGTTCTTTGATGTCCTACCTAAAGTTGTGAAGTATAGTCCTTCAGGCTACATAGACCTGTTATTTCTTTAATCCTCACAGCTACCCTGGCCCTTGGTATTACAATTATACTCATTTGACAGCTGAAAGAAGTTAGTCCCAGAGAGTTTAGAGATGAGGGGCAAGGTCAAACAGCTATTTTGTGGCACAGCTCAGGGTACAATCCAAGCCTCCTGATTATCCAGTTCAGGACATTCACTTGTCTCAGTAGTTCTATCTTGAGTTTTGCTAACTTCCTTGTCCCCTGCCTTTCTCAGCTGTTGCTGTCTCCTTCCCTCTCTTGGCCTTCAGTTGTCCCCTTGATGTTGTCCTTGACCTACTATCCTTCTCTTTGTTGAGGCTTGGAACACCATACCTCAAACCATGGCCCCTTAACAACTGAGAAACTGCCAAAGCAAGCTCACTCTGACCTTCCACCATCTTTCTGTGTTCCCTAAAGGAATTCTATGACCTACCTCATCTGAGAATAAGTCATAATATTCTCCTTCCATAGGGGTCCTGCCCTATACTGGGAGGCCAAGAAGAATTGGAATAGGCAAGCTTTGCTGGTCTCCTCCAACCCCATTTATCACCACTAGATCATACCCTTTTGGTACATACTTCTACATAACTGTCCATTCTTCATTCAATCTAAGGACAAAAATATTTTTTCCTGAATCTGGGTCTTCTTTCTGAAGGCTCCCATGCCCTGTAAAATTGATTAAATACATTTGTTATGCTTTTCTCTTGTTAGTATCTAATTTCTTTGGGGGATACATGGGGGTTAAACTCAGGAGTGCTCTCTCATTGAGATACATCCCCAGTTCTTTTAATTTTTTATGTTGAGACATGGTCTCCCTAAGTTACTGAGGGTTGCTAAATTGCTGATGCTGGTCTCAAATTTGTAATCATCCTTCCTCAGCCTCCTGCGTTGCTGGGATGGCAGGTGTATGCCATCACACCCAGCTTTAATCTTTTTTTTTTTTTTTTTTGGTTTTTATAGGGGTGTCAGCCATGATTTGGGGGATGAATGGGGAAATTTACCACTTTTTCTTTCCTGTACCTCTGTCTGCTTTTCACCTATTCCCTGATATCCCTGCTTCTCACTTCTTTCCTCTTCAGAGTGTGGATATGAACGTGGGAAGAGTCAGGTCAACCAGGAGCACTTACTTTTTCCCAGCACTCCAATTCCTGAGCCCACAGAGTTGGCACCTCCAGATACGAACACTCCTGCCCAGATGTACCTGCCACCTACTCAGCAGTCTACCCAGCAATTCAAGCTTCCATCAGGAGTGCTGCCTTTGGACAAAGAGCTCACTCACCTAAAGGAAACCACCACTTTCACTGTGGGTTATAATCTGGGAATTGGGTTTAAGGATGGAGAGAAACAGAGGCAGAAGGAAGAAATGGAAGGCACTGCCATTAATAAATCAGTCATGGTGGCAGTGCTGTCCCTCCTGGCCATTGTCTTCATTCTCACTGGAGTCCTCCTTTATGTGTTGTGCAAAAGGAGGAGGGAACAGTCTCTGCAGTGCTCTCCAGGTAAACTGGGCTTGTGAACCCCTCCCCCAGGGATCCAGGATTCCTTCCTGGCAGGACTCT